TTGATTATAATCATGCTTATAGTTCCAAACATTGATTATAATCATGCTTATAGTTCCAAACATTGATTATAATCATGCTTATAGTTCCAAACATTTATTATAATCATGCTTATAGTTCCAAACATTGATTATAATCATGTTTATAGTTCCAAACGTTGATGTCATCTATAAGTGCACGGTTTCAAACATTGATATACATTTCACTGTTATGATATGATTATTCGAATGCCGTTCCAAACATTTATATAATTTTGCATAGTTCATAGTTTCAAACATTGGAACGTATAATCATGCATAGTTGCAATCATTGGAACATATAATCATGGACATTTCCAAAATTTTATTTAATCATGCATATTTCCGTAAACATGGATTTAATCATTCAAAGTTTCAAACATTGATTGTAATCATTCTAATTCCAAACATTTATTATGTTCATGCACAGTTCTAAACATTGATATATATATATAATCATGCACAGTTTCAAACATAATCATTCATAGTTCCAAACATTGATATAATCTTACACTTTTCAAAACATTGATATATATATTGCATGTTCCAAACAATAATATAATCATTCATGCCGTTCCAAACATTTAAAACCCCATACATTGTGCACAGTTCCAAACACACAAAAATTTCATTAAAAGAGGATGATCCATTTGGCGTACGTATTTTTTTTGCCTTATATAGTAAAAAAGTCTGTACTCATGTGTATTGTACACCGAAGCATTATTAGCCCCTGACTGTACAGTGCACAGCTCGCTCTAGTTGCTTAAAATTGAGCCCGTTACTTGAAATGAATCGTCGAGTTCACAGTGAACATCGATAGTAATGAAAAATTCCTAACATTGATATATTCATTACCCCCCCCCCCCTGGAGGTCACGCATAGTGGGGCCTCATTTATGAAATGAATTTTTATGGTGTGTGGGCCGTGGGGAAATAAAAGACAAAACTTTTCATCCTTTTTAATAATTTTTACACAAAAATTCAGCAAGTAAAACACTGCAAATTGGGCGTTCCGCAATCCGCACAAACTTACCTAACTTCTGTGGAAAAAATATTTGTTGGTGATCTGAAAAAAAGGAAAAATTTGACATAAAAAAAATGTTCATCCTTTTAATACTTTTTATCCAGCATGCAATTAAAACCCTAAAAATTGTTTTGGTACTCCGCGCAAACAAACCTTACTTCTGGAGACTGGTCATCAAAAGGCATTTTTTATCCTTTTTAATACTTCTTACTAAAAAATTCAGCCAATATACAGTTTGTTTGCCGCTGTCATTAATCATGCATATTTTAATTTTATTTAATCACTGCATAGTTCCAAACATTGAATTCATCTTGCTTGCTCAGTTCCAAACATATAGATATAATCATGCAAAGGAACTGAGTTTTTGCCACAAATTCAAATATTCTTATCCCTATATCTTGGCAACCCAATGTCATAGACCTTAGATATTTCAAACTATTAGTTCTGTTAGATCAAATAATCTAAGTTTAAAATTTCAAAGGTTTACACCAACAGGTTGCAGAGATATAGAAATGAGAAAATTTGAGTTTGCGGCAAAAACTCAGTTCCTTTCCAAACATAGATATAATCATGCACATTTACAAAAATTGATATAATCTTGCACATTTACAAGCATTGATATAATCATTCATAGTTCCAAACATAGATTTAATCATACAAATTTCCAAACATTGATATAATCTTGCATAGTTCCAAACATTAATAAAATTAAGCATAGTTCCAAGCATTGATAAACTCTTGCCGAGTCTTACACATAGTAGATACTACAAACATTAATATCTATTTATATACTTTGCTTGTCTGTCTGTCCGTCCGTTTGTATCCAATAAACGTCAAAACGGTTAAACCGATAGGGCTCAAATTTTTTTGTGTGACCTCGCGTGACCCAAGGGAAGGTTTATGGGTGATCAAATTTTCAAAAATTTGTCTCCATCCAAATTCTATTTTTTTAATTTTGAAAATCAATGAATTTTTTTTTTATAAAATCTGGGAAATTCTTGTTTGTTTTTGTTTTACATTGTTACACAAAGAGAACATTGTTCACAATGGAAATGGAAGATGGGCGCAAAGTGCCCTAACAGCCTAGTTATTAATAATTCTGCAAAGTTCCAAAACTGAATTAATCATCTAAAGTTCCAAATTTTGAACTGATCATGTATTTAATAATTACACAGTTCCAAATGAAAATTTACATAATCTTATTTACATGGACACTTATAATTCATTATTTTTTTTAAAGTTAAATTTCAAATTGTCAGCACAAAAATTTATTTAATCCCTAATGTAATTACTTTTATAAAAAAGAAAATGACAGCTTTCTAAACCACAAGTTTAGAATGATAAGAATTGTTTCATATACTTCACTTTTTATGCATAGGAAGGTTAGAGTGTTATATTCTTTAAACTGGAAAGAATTGTTTAAATTCTTATTAAATCTTTTTATAAAAGTGCTACTCAGAAGATGTGGTTCTGTGGACTTGCTCCTCTCTTACTTCTCATGCCAGGTTTTATTGTACTTGTGTTACAACTAGTTCTATACCTGGAGAAGGATGGAGAGTGTGATTTGACAATGTTTAAAAATAATTCAGAAGCTTTTCGTGCTTGCCAAGCACAGTATGCTCTTCAACAGAATTGGTTTCCTGATCCGATACAGGGGTTGTTTTCGTACCAGACTTGGAACGGAATGGATGGTTTCTGGCAGAACGGTGTTGCTGTGGAATCTATGGCTAATTCTATGTTGTACATGAATAACACAAGGTATAAATCTGCTGTTGTGAACTCCTATCGATCCTTGGACCAACTTCTTCTCGCGTATGGGCCTCAGCCCTCATATGACGACATGGCATGGTACGGATTAGCTTACGCCAGAGTGTTTGAGATCACTGGAGAGAAGAATTTTTTGGAACTAAGTTTCCAAATTTTTGAGTGGATTTGGAGTGAGGGTTGGGATACAAGTATCTGCAATGGCGGGGTTTGGTTTGATCAAAGTCAGAGCGGTAAACAAACCATTGAAAATGTGCAGATGATTCAACTTGCTGCTAAACTGAGTCGGTTGTTAAAAAAACCAGAATTACAAAGAAAAGCCAACACAGTTTTGAACTGGGTGGTTAAGGTTGGTTTGATAAATAAGACTAGCTACGAGGTATATGATGGTATATCTCTAGAGACATGTGAGAGAGCTGGAGACACTAAGTTTACCTACACAGCTGGAACTACTCTTGGAGGTTTAGTAGAGCTAACAAAGCTCACTGGAAACACAACATACCTCGCTCTCGCACATAACGTTACCAAAAGTGTTCTGAATACCATGACTCTCAATAACACTCTAATGGAACCTTGTGACCGAGATGCGTCCTGTAACTTAGATCAACAAATATTTAAGGGAATTTTTATGAGAAATCTGAAATACTTGATTGACTTTGATGCTAATTCTAGTTTTGTTCGTGAATACAACAAGTTTATAGAAGCTAATATAGAAACAATGTTTACACATGCCTCATGTACTCCGGGTGGAGTTAATTCTACAACTTGTCATATAATATACTTGAACGGATCTCCTTACAATTCTGCAACAGGACCAGTTTTTGATTCAGTCTGGAGCGGTCCATTTCATGAATCTCGTCCTATCCAGCAAACTAGTGCATTAGATCTACTCTTGGCAGGTATCCAGGCTACGGTGGAGTGTGTCGGAAAGAAATGTGAGTATGATCCTGCTCCTCCTCCTCCTCATCATCTGACTTGTGAAGATGATCCTTGTCCAGTAGGACAGGATTGCTGTGAATACGAAGAAGAATATGCCTGCTGTAATACATATCAGAAATGTCAGGATGGAATATGTTTGTAAACCATGCATGTGAGCTAAGTTTAGTCAATTTTCGTGAAGTTAACCTGATTTACTAATAGATAAAAGATAATCTGTGGAAATCAACTTTTTTGATCTGTAATATAATATATATTAATTTTTTACCTGTGGTACAATATATTTATTAACTATCTTTGAAACGCAATACATTCATTTTTCATTTGTGGAAACATTTTTCTTTTATACAATCATCAACATAATAAAGGCGTTCGTGCTCATATATATATATATATATATAATTTATGTTAGCTGTAGCCGGGCAAACTGCTGGAAAGATTGGCTGAATTTTTTTAGGGAACCCATGGGTACCCCTGATGTTACACAGGATAAAAATATTCGTATTTTGTTTTCAAAATTTAAAAAATGTCCAGTGTTTTTTATCTTCCACGGGCAACACCGAACACAGCTAGCACATTCCATATAAATTAAAATGTATTCTTTTTCATCTCTTCCAATTCGTAGTAAAATACATCCCTTTTCATAGTTAAATATACCCTGTTCCATCCATAGTAAAATAAATCCTTTTTCATCTGTGATAAAATGTATTTTTTGATGTAAAATATATTTTTTTTCCATCCGTAGTAAAACGCAACCTTTTTCATCCGTAGTAAAATATATCTTTTTCCATCCGTAGTAAAATATATCATTTTTCACCCGTAGTAAAATATATCTTTTTCCATTCGTAGTAAAATATATCTTTTTCCATCCGTAGTAAAATATATCCTTTTCCATCCGTAGTAAAATATATCCTTTTTCATCCGTAGTAAAATATATCTTTTTCCATCCGTAGTAAAATACATCCTTTTTCATCTGTAGTAAAATATATCTTTTTCCATTCGTAGTAAAATGCATCTTTCGTTTTAGAATATATTCTTTTCAATTCGTTTAGAATATAATCTTTTCAATTCGTTTAGAATATATTCTATTCAATTTGTTTTATAATATATTCTTTTCAATTCGTTTTAGAATATAATCTTTTTAATTCGTTTTAAATACCTGAAATACAATAGTTCTGTAGAATCTATTGTCAGATACAGTAGACATTTTATAGTTGCGACTTCCTCGCCTAGCTAGTTAGTCTGGAAACTCTCAACCAAATCACAGCTAGAAAATGTTTAAGGAATCGGATACATGTGTCTTGAAGAAGAATATTCCAGCTTGTTTACGTTCAATCCTAGATTAAGTTATTGTAATCTGACATATAAGTGATGGAGAGCAAGAGGGGTAGAATTAAACCTAGAATTTATCAAATATTCGTAAACAATCTGATTACATCCAGGACCAGATATAAGAATTACTCTTTCAACCCCACGTAAGGTTCAGAGAAGAAAGTCGATTAATATTATAAAACCTGATAGATCTTCTTAGGTTACAAGGGTTGCTCTTCCCACTTTCCTTTTAATGGCAGTGTCAAAGCAATTTCAGAAAATGTATTATTATACAAAGCTGGGATGTATGTCACACTTTTGTGCGGCCTCATTGTGCGCCCCCGGCCATTGGTACCTCATCAAAAGTGCGTCCTCAATGTGCATCCTCAATTAGTGTCCTTAATGTGCATCCTCAATCAGTGCAGTGTCCTCAATGTGCGCTTGCATGAGAATTTCTGATTTGCAAACTTGTAATAATAAAATTCGCAATTATCAGTTCTGTTCTTATTTTTAAAGAAAAGTTGTTTTTCAATGGCTCTTCACTCTTCAGGTTTCAACTGAACAGCGAATATTAATAACTTTAGAACATACAAAAAAGAAAGAAACTAGAGGAAACTTTTCCTTGAAAATTAGACCAGAACTAAAAATTGCGAATTTTCTTATTACAATTTTGCTAATTTTCTGTGATTCTGTAATTAAAATCTTTATAAAATTTTAGAAATTGATAGAAATGATATATACAAGTTTTTGCTTTTCTGAACTTTTGATTTTGAGAGAAAAAAAGGTTCGCAGATTTTTTTGGCAGGAGTAGCAAAAAAAATTAAAAATTTCCGAAAAATATTTTTAAAAAACACTATACAAGAGAGTTACACAGAAAAAGTACAATTTTGCATCAGGCGCCGCTAATCCCACTTTTTTTTAACTCACCCTGTATAGTCCCCTTTTCAACAAGTTATAGCTTTATCTGACGACAATCTATTACGAAGTTTTGATTCTATTTTTTAATCCAACATGTCCTGCAGTTTCATGAAAAAATTAGAAATTAAACCATTTTACTAACCATTAACATATATATATATATATATATAATTTATGTTAGCTAGGGTTCAGTAGACCGAGAAAACTCCTGGGTTCAGTATAAGAAGAGAACTCCTGGGTTCAGTAGACCGAGAAAACTCCTGGGTTCAGTAGAACAAGAGAACTCCTGGGTTCAGTAGAACAAGAGAACTCCTGGGTTTAGTATAACAAGAGAACTTTTGGGTTCAGTATAATAAGAGAACTCCTGGGTTCAGTAGAACAAGAGAACTTCTGGGTACAGTAGAACAAGAGAACTTCTGGGTTTAGTATAACAAGAGAACTTTTGGGTTCAGTAGAACAAGAGAACTCCTGGGTTTAGTATAACAAGAGAACTTCTGGGCTCAGTGTAATAAGATAACTCCTGGGTTCAGTAGCACAAGAGATGTCCTGGGTTCAGTATAACAGGAAAATGTATGGGTTCAGTAGAACAAGAGAACTCTTGGGTCCAGTAGAACAAGAGAACTCCAGGGTTCAGTGGACTGAGAAAACTCCTGGGTTCAGTAGAACAAGAGAACTCCTTCCTGGGTTCAGTAGACCGAGAAAACTCCTGGGTTCAGTAGACAGAGAAAACTCCTGGGTTCATTTTAAAAAGAAAAGTGCATGGTTTATTAGAACAAGAAAGCATTTGGGCAAAGAAAATTTTCCCACAGGAGCTGAGATATGAATGAACTCAGTGCTCTCTAGGTTATATTATTTAAAGGATTTACTGAAGAAGTTCTGGGTTATGAGACCGGGATATTAATTTGATTGATGTGAACTTGCATAAAACCAGCGGTATTCACCCAAATATAGATATTTCGGAGCATATTTCCAACCTATCCTGGAGAATCGATCAAATCGCCATATGTGCATCACATCAGTATGAGAACATAGAACACCTGGCGGGTTCATTGATATTGAGTTCTTCAGATATAATATAATTTGTTACAAGGACCAAGTACAATATTCTTAACTTTTTATACACGCCGACCAAAGAGAGACAATTTATGTTTCATCCTTCGTCAGTAATCCATGCGTGAATTCATAATATCGAAGGATCGATTTCGTTGTCATAAATTTCTATTTCTCCGCTTTTTGCACGTTTTTTAACATAGATATGTTCATGGGCACGTGCCCCCCTTTTCCCACCTAGGGGCACAGGGCTGCAGTGGGGCACATTATCTCAGACAAAAAAGAAGAGAATGAAAAAATGAAAAGAAGGAAAAGTGAATGAAAGAAAGAAAAAAGGAATAAATATGCGAGAAATCTTATTTTTGTTACCAATATTATGAGCAAAGGGTGATTTTTACTTAAAATTTTTAAAAATGAGGGCTTTCTGAAATGAATGATTTGGTTATTTTTATTTCTTTATGTAGAAAGGATAGGATTTAAAATAATTTTTTGTATTTTGAGAAACTTATTCTTTTCAGTGTTACATTTATTTATTGCTAAATTTCAACATAATATATATTCTAACCAGAGTTTAATGATTAAATGGTTAAAATGGAAATATTAAAAAGAACCTAAGAGCTCCTAGACCCTAGTAGCTTGTAAAGGAAAGAAAACATATTGCAAATAAGGCAAAATATCTATCTAAAAATAACTACATGTGTATTTAGCTGAAAATCCAGTTTTTTAGGCCTCGGGTCATTAATTTTGACCTTTTTTGAGGTTTCCATGCCAAAAAAAAACTTTTTGCCCCCCCCCCCCTGAAAATTCCTAGTTATGGGCCTGGATGTGTTGATATAAACTTTATATGTCTATCTGTATATCTTAATATGTTGTTGTTAATAAAACCAACATTAAAGTGATTTCTTTTTAAGGTCGCGGAGCTTACAGTACATTCATCTTTGTACTTTTAACACAACACAAAAACACAAAAACCTTCTCTGTCTCTTTTCAGTCTTGATTTCATAGAAATGTTTTTATGATCCTAAAAACTTAAATTAGAATTTGTGTAATGGACTTGACAGGACTGAGAGCTGCTTTGGTTTCAATGTCAATTTATCAGTGTATTGTGAGTCAATGCAGTGTTGTTCGTGTTGTAGTTCAGATAGGGATAGGCCGGGCCCGGTACTTCTACAGTTTGCAGGATAGAGAGCAGGGACGGGCCGGGACACCAGTATTGTCCGTCCGCATTCTGCATCTTCTTCAGTTCAGAGTCAGACTTCAGTAATGTCGCGACCGCGGAGAAAGTAGTAAGAGCGTGAACATGAAAAATCATAGTTTAAATACAAATATTCTTTATATTGATAGATAACGTGAGGATTAGTGATGGCTCGGGTTCTCCTGATCCTTCTTCTTTCCTACTATTCTAAGGCATTTAATCTAGACACAAGAACTCCTATAGTCAAGTTTGGCGGGGTTTACTCTGATAGTTATTTTGGGTACAGTGTTGCACAACATATAATTAAAGACGGAGAACCAGTGATCCTTGTAGGAGCTCCTAAAGATAAAAACCTTCAGCCTGGAACGGAGAAATCCGGAGCATTGTATAGATGTGGGTTAACCCTGTATACCCGGGACTGCGAGCAGGTTGAGACGGATGGGAGAAGACATAATAGTGGGAGACTTTATGGTATCTATGATGGAAACCTAACTCAGCTCAAACCTCCGGTTTCGTCGGAGATAAAGGAGGATCAATGGCTCGGAGTCAGTCTCAACTCTCAAGGTATGATATTAACATTCCAAGTTGAAAACCCTTTTTTTCTCACAAGAATTGGGTTTAAAATTATTTTCAAGATGCCATAAATCTTGTTATTCTAAGCTGAGTGTCACTAAACCCCGAAGAGTAGTTATATAAGAATATAGTGTTATCCTGTATACCGTGTAATATGTGTATATATCTATACATATATTTAAATGAATAGAAGTGGGCACTGGACACTGGACTTATTTTAAATTATTCTATACATTTTTTTTGTACTGTAATATAATTTTTGAAATAACATAAAATTATTAATTTAATGGAAATGACATTTCTTTTTCCATTTGGAGTTCTTTGTCAAAAATCTATTTACTTGGGTTTGATGAGAAAAGTTTGACCGGGTTGAGGTAATCATTTTTGTCAAATTCTTTTAAATTTTTGAAATATTAAAGTATTTTTCAAGTCAAGTACCAATACCAACACAAACCAAAAATGAATATTTTAAATTTTAAAACTCATTATCCCTGAAAATAAACAATACGCTTTAAAAAAAGATTATAAAAAATTGAAGTTTAAAGAAAATAAATATCTTAAATCTGTTTTCTCTCTCCAATCCATATTTGTTCCTTATTCGGGAATATTTAATCATTCCCGACCCAACCCAAGATATCAAACCAAAAATACTAGAATTTAAAGATTGTTTATTCCTGGTAAACTACAGGTAGTGATTTCCACTCCTTCAAGAGTTAATTCAACAAAAACCCTCTGTCAACTACCCTCCCCGGGGTTTTTGGGAGTGGTTGGAAGATTGTGGGGGGGGGGAACTGAATTCTGAGCCCCTTTTATTAGAATTCTTTCTTTTAGATTTTTTCATCGTATTACAATAAGTTTTTTAATTCTTCAGACAGGAAGCATAAAAAAAATAGAGTTTTGTAATTCAAAAATTAATAATGATCTTTTTTGGTGCCTTAAGAAACAACAAATTTTTACCCCATCTATTATTATTATTATTATTATATCTCTTTTTATTTGTCCGATCCTAACTCATGAACCTCTGGCAAGATTTGCCTCAAATTTTTATTTTAGAACTTTGTAAAAAGAACGGGAATGTTTGTTAAAAAGTTCTAAGTTTAGTGGGTTGACTTTTCTATCAAATCTTTAGTTTCTAAGCAACGCTGGGTTCCCAAGCTAGTACTTAATAGAAGTGCAATCAAACTTTTTCACGCTTAAAACATTCTGTCTTGGTTTGTGCAATTCAACAATGAAAATGAGCAAGCAAATATTTAAATTTACTCCTTTCAAGATTCTAAACCGACGATTAACTTTTTAAATGAAGTGTTACTTAAAACTAGGTTGACAATTGATTTTAACATGTTTTGTGTTTTCTAGATACTAAATACTATATTTTAAACTAGAACCTGGGTTCTAGTATTATTTAACTCAAATCAGGGTTATCCTCATGTGGGATGGCAAGCCGAACACAAACAAACAAACACAAACAAACACAAACACACCCAAACACAGACAAACAAAGACAAACAAAGGCTAACACACAACACCAACACATACAGACACAAGAAACACAAACAGATGCAAATAATGACACATTCAGACATATAGTTGACTTTTATTAAATCAGAATAGTTGACTTTTTGTACATTAGTAAAATATATGCACATTTCAACATGTGCAAGACTTCGGTTGGATTTAATATTGGTTATTTACATATTTGTTTTTATTTCGCGCGTATGAGATGTGTTATTATATGTAGTATATTTTCTGCCAGGTCTAATATGCCCCCTGAGCTAGTTTAAGATCTTGATATTGATAGTAGATACCCTTTATCATCTTCAATCTTATAAATTATGCAAAATTAGTTAATGTCTGAATATATAAATATTAATGTACAAAATACTTAAAAATACATATAAAAATAAAATAATGAATAACTAGCTAAACATACAAACATCTAGCTATACAAACAAACATTTAGCTGAACATACAAACATTAAGCTAAACAGACAAACATCTAATTAAACATACAAACATCTAGCTATACATACAAACATCTAGCTAAGAATACAAACATCTAGCTATACATACAAACATCTAGCTATACATACAAACATCTAGCTGAACATACAAACATTTAGCTAAACATACAAACATCTAGTTAAACATACAAACATCTTGCTAAATATATAAACATCTAGCTTTACATACACACATCTAGCTATGTATACAAACATCTAGATATCATACAAACATATAGCTAAACATACAAACATTTAGCTATGCACACAAACATCTAACTAAACATACAAAAAAATTACAAACATCTAGCTAAACATAAAAACATTTAACTGTACATAAAAAACAGTAGGATTTCAAAATAAGGATTAGAAAATTTGACTTTGAGACAAATGTTTATTTCCTTTGCAAAATATAAACTGCAAACTTTTTAAAATAAATTATTTTTCCCTCTCTCTCATCTCCTCTCTATCTATATCTCTATTAGTTCAAGCATAAATATTTCGTTAAGGAATGAAAATGCAAAACATGTGAAATATAGAATCCCCAAAATATTTCATAATTTTGACACTTTTCATGCTTTCTCTCTCAAATCGGGAATACTGTGTGGGGATATAGGTTTAGTTAGAGTGACATTTTAAAATATGAATTTAAATATTCCAATCTGTATTTTTGCCACAAACTCTGATTTTCTAATCCATATATCTTTGCAACCCAATTTCCGTAGACCTTAGATATTTCAAACTATGAATTCTGTTGAATCAAATTAGCCAACTTTAAAATATCTTATGTTTACGCCATCAGGTTGTTGAGATATAGGGGTTAGAAAATTTGAGTTTGTGATCAATACTCAATTTCTTTATACATCTATCAGACAAACAGAGACAAAAGCATAAAGATACATCAAACACACACAAACACGCCCCAAAACATACAAACACACACCAACACACACAAACAAACAAACACAAACAAACACAAACACACCCAAACACAGACAAACAAAGACAAACAAAGGCTAACACACAACACCAACACATACAGACACAAGAAACACAAACAGATGCAAATAATGACACATTCAGACAAACACATACAAACACAAAAAGATATATAAAAACACACACAAATGCAGATAAACGCACCCAATCACATATAAACACAAAACAAACACATGCAATTTTACATTCTAACACAGCAGAGAAAAAAGTAGATGCTGACCCAGAAAATTACAATTAAACATAGATCTATACAGACAAATACATACAAACATCGACAAACGTTCACATACATTATACATACATTTTAACATATACAAATATATTTTACATAAGAAATGAAAATTTCTTATTTGTTTACATACAAACTAGAGAAAAGTTTACGGAAGACATAAAACTATCAACATAAGTTTAAAACGAAATATATGTATGTATACATCTAGAAATATCTAATGTATATTCCAACTAGATTAACCTTATTCAAGTTAGAGGATGAATGATAAGGTGCAATCATACATTTTCTCAGACCTGGGTTGGAAAATGGAATTGGTTGGATGAAAAAGAGGGTTAAAAAAATGAATGGATGACAGTGAGGAGGAAGAAAATTTGATAGATGAAAGGAACAGGGAAGAGAACTGGTTGGATTTGAGAGATTGGGAATAGACATGGATGGATGAGATGGATGAGAGGGATAGGGAATGGAACTGGATGTATGACAAGGAAAGGGTATGGAACTGGATGTATGACAAGGAAAGGGTATGGAACTGGATGAATGACAAGGAAATGGAATGGAACTGGATCTAAAACAAGGAAAGGTAATGTAACTGGATGTATGACAAGGAAAGGGTATGGTACTGGATGTATGACAAGGAAAGGGTATGGAACTGATGAATGACAAGGAAATGGAATGGAACTGGATGTATGACAAGGAAAGGTAATGGAACTGCCGGATTCGTGAGAGAGACGGAGAATGAAACTGTTGAATGGAACTGAATGGATGATTGAGAATAGGAATATGGCTAAATAGATGTAAAAAAATTTGGAAAACAACTGGACAAATGTGAGAAATGGATGGTAGGACTGAATAGATGAGAGGTAGGGTGTAACGAGATGGATGTTAGAGAGGGGCGGGTAAACGTGGAATGGGGGGAGGGTGGACTGTCTAGATGAGAAGAAAAATATCAAATTTCTTGTTGTCATTTCATTCAAGTTTCAGCTGCTCCTCATGTCTCATTTCGTTCATTGTGAATCCAATACACTACTACTGCTTCTATGCAGCTACTTTGTTCAGTCCTTTTTGTTTTGTAAATTAGGTTTAAATCGTTCCTTTCTTTCTTTTGTGAAACACTAACTATTTACATTTTTTTCGGAAATAATGAAAAAATATGTTTACGAAAGATTTAATAAATAAAAAGATGGTGGATTTTATCAAGTGATTGGTAAAAAAAACATCTCTGATAACTGTCTATAACAAAGTTTTCTATTAACTGTGTCCAAAGATCAGAACTTGTGTGTTAATGTTGTTAATTTTAAAGGCTTGATCTCGATAGCCAATGTGGGCTCTTTTAAATTTGAGGATCAATGCTTAACCTAATTAAAGGTTTTCTTGTAGGGTATACTATCACAGGATATAAAATACTGACTTCGGGATATCTCCTGTCTCCAAGATCTCTGATATCTTTCTCCAGGAAATCTCTTATAGCTGTCTCCAGGGTCTCTAATATATGTCTCCAGGATATCTCTGATAACCGTCTCCAGGATCTCTGAGAGCTGTCTCCAGGATCTCTGAGAGCAGTCTCCAGGATCTCTGATAGCTGTCTCCAGGATATCTCTGATAATTGTCTCCAGGATATCTCTGATAGCTGTCTCCAGGATCTCTGATAGCTGTCTCCAGGGTGTCTAATATATGTCTCCAGGATATCTCTGATAACTGTCTCCAGGATATCTCTGATAATTGTCTCCATGATATCTCTGATAGCTGTCTCCAGGGTCTCT